GTGTGTTGCGGCCCCCTGCCGCCGCCCACCCCCCCCCCAGTTTATATACGGAGCATGACGTCATATGGTATGGAATAGCCCTTTGGTCAGTTTGGATCAACTATTCTGGCTGTGCCCCCTCCCAGTTTCTTGTGTACCTGGCAGAGCATGGGAAGCTGAAAAGTCCTTGACTAGCATAAGCAGTACTTAGCAACAACTAAAAACATCAGTGTGTTATCAACATTCTTCTGGTACTAAATCCAAAACACAGCACTATGCCTGCTACTAGGAAGAAAATTAACTCTATCCCAGCTGAAACCAGGACAACATGGTCTGGCACCTTTCTGCACTCATTGCACCAGTTTGCAAACTAATTACATGTGTGTGCTAGAAGACTGTTTTTCATAGTTTCTTTATTAATTAATTTTAGTGTTGGATGGCCACCTGGCCAGCCAACTGCTTACCCACATCAGCATGATCAGCAATAACCTTCCTCTTCCCTAAATGCCTGCAGAATTCATTTAAAAACTTGGTGACCTGTCTTCGCACTTGTGGAGGGTAAAGCTTAGCCTCACAGACAGCAGTGCCACTAACTGCATCACACTGACTCACCAGTGTTTCAGCTCTTGTAGTTTTTTCAGTGCCAAATCAGCTGATTTGGCACTTTCTCCAATTAAACTTCCAAAATGGAAGCTCACTTAATGCCAGCTGTGGTTATTTCCTTTCCTAGGAGGCAGACATCCATTTCTAAAGTGACTAGACTGACACCACCAGCTTCATGCTCAGAGCCCACCCACACAGTGCGTCCATTGTTCACCCAGCCAGTGGAGGGCTGGATCTGCTGGTTGTGACTGCATGGAGCTGGACTCCGGCAGGCTACTGATGGGTGCAAGTCTCCTTAACACATCTCTCAGGCGCCACCCTTCATGCTTTGATGCCATCAAATGTACGAAATGGTCAGGTCTTTTGAATTTAGATTACAGAAAGCCATGGTTCAAGAAATGCAGGTTTCCTTGTCCACATCATAGTCTGGATTTCATTGCATCCATGAACCAGAAAAAGCTGTATATTTCTATGCCCCCATATTTCTATATTTCTATGGCCCCCATACTCCCTACCAGCTGAAGCTCTAACAGAAGAGATAGTCCCTACATGAATAAAGCATGCGTGAAGAACTGCAGAGTAGAAATAGGTAACACAACGTCAGGCAGAGTGCCATGAGTTTCTGCTCCAGTCTGGAAACATGGGAGTAGGCAAATGTTCCTGGAGGTATGAGTAGATCACAGGGTGACTGTGAGCCACAAATGTGATACAGGCAAATGCATTCTTCTGTGTCAGGCAAGATATTTCCATAGGAAAGGCAAGCATTGGGCAAACCCCTGGTGAGAACTCACCTGTACCACTATGGACAGTTCTCATTCCTCAGGTTCAAGAAAAATAAATTCTGTCTGGGATGAAGGTAAACAAAGACTAAGCAGTTGATTAGGGGCATGGAGGGCCTACAGAAGAAGATGACGACTTGAGGGAGCAAGACAAAGGCTGAGAGGGCTGCCATCACTTTCAAGAAAGGTATTGAGGATGAAGGCCAAAGGAGAAAAAGAATTATGGACATGCAAGGAAAAATATGGTAAAGAACACAAAACAATTCAGGACTTTTTTCCAAGAGGAAGACCTCCCCATGAACAGCATGTTCTCTACATCTCTGCAAAGTTCATGCAGAGGTAACCAAACCCCTTTCTTTCACCTCTGGTATCGCCACAACCAAATGAACGTGTACAGTATAAATGCCCTTCTTTACATAGTCTGAATGTACATACCAATTTTGGCACCAAATTACAAAATGGCAAGAATAGTACCTTCCTTACTCTTTCAGTACTCAAAATACTAAATCCTAAAGGAAAAAGAGATTTGCCAGGGTTTTAGGTAAGAGCTGAACATCTTCCCACAGAGTGAGGTAGGCAAATGGGATGGAGGGCTATAAGCTGTTCATGAGGGATAGGCAGGGCAGGAGAGGTGGAGGAGTTGCACTGTATGTAAGGGAGAGGTTTGACTGTATAGTCCTTACAGTTAGGGATGGTGTGGTTGAAAGCCAGTGGGTGAGGATCAGGGGGATGGAAGACAAAGTAGATATCCTGATGGGATCTTAAGGATTGGGGTTTACTGGACCAATCATGAAATTCATTTGACTCGAGAATGTACCTGTATGATTTGTTTAATCTTTGTGGCATGCACAATGAACAATATGATGAACTATATTCTTCCCGACTATATATAATTCAACTCATAAAAGCTCTGGATAAAACTCTACATTGTCATCATTAGTCTTTAATGCAGTAGTCTTGAAATCTCCCATATATGTGATATTGTTCCTTCTGTCTAGGCAGGCAATGTGGTGACAGGAGAGATGGTGGAAGAACTTATTCTTTCAGGAGCAGATATTATTAAAGTGGGTATTGGACCAGGTAAGTCAAATCCAGTAAAATAAGGGCGACTTATGGTAACGGCGGTGGGGGAGTTGTCCAGATGGAACCAGTGCATAATGCTGTTTGCTTGCCCATTAGGATGTAGTGGATCTACGCTCAGGTCAATAAAGTAACAGCGCCCTTGCATATAGTATGTTTAAGAAATACATGGGCAGGGTGCTAGTGTTTTGTACTGCAAAGTGTTACATATTGCTGTCTTCTGGCAGTGAAGATGACTTATTGGAAGCACTGAGTTGCCTGAGTTGCTGACATTATCAGTGATAATGTGTGTTGTGTTTAGGAACGCTTTTTCTAGCCTGCTGAAAAGAGGCTGAGTCATCCCACCTCAAAGGACACTGTGTTTAGGTATCCACTTCTATCAAGGACAGATAGGTTTCTAAATAGCTATATGATTTGCGTTCTGAGGCTGCCTATCTTGTCATTGTCTTCAAAGATGAAATGGCTTTAATTAAGTGTGAACTATGGATAACATTGCCTCTACCTGTTACTATTGCCTGGAAGCTATAATACTTACATTAATGCGCTTACATGTTACCAATCACTGTAACATTCCCATGGATAAATGGGAGGACTCTAAACTTCTTACAGTGTTTTTCCTACCTTCCCTTCCCTAACAGTGTTGTCTGGCATATACTGCCATATTGTCTTCCCTTTTTTCTTTCCCTCCCTTGTGCATTTGTTCAGGTGCTCCTTCCTCTTGCTATTTTCTTCATAGACTGCAGCTGGGGTCACTATGTGTGGGCTAGATTTAAACTGGCTAACACAAGTGCCACTGACAGTATAGCTGTGATCAGCCAGTGCAGTGCAGGCAAATTGTTTACTCTATAGTACCAAATAGTTACGGTTCATGAATGGATAATTTGAGCAGAGCAAATGATGTGATAAAGGTTGCAGTTGTGCCCGGGAAGACAGCAAACAACAATAAATACTGCAAAATACATGAAGAATAAACAACAGAGATGTCATGGTACAATTGTCACAGGCAAGTTCAGATATGAAAGAAGAAATATTATAGTTTGTAGCCTCAAAGTAGAAATAGTTAGGAGTAAATGCTGTGTAGCCCTCTCTGGAGATCTTCCTGAACAGATCTGTACAGGTTGACCACCCAAAACCACAAGTAACAAATGTTCCTCACAGAAGATCAGATCTTGAGGCTCTTTTGAGAAAATGGTCCATCCTGTGGAAAATGGCAGTGATTTATTATAAAGCATTACATATATTAGTACATACTCTGTGGATATCATTTTAAAACTAATTTTCTTCCTACTTTGCAGAAATACTTCTCAGTGTTTTCACCTTGTCAGTTCTTTAAAAGATCTTTGGAAACTTTTACTTTACTGGTAGCTTGAGTATACTTGGATATCAGCTCAGTGGAGGGAGTGAGATTTCACTGCATTTGTTTTAGAATCTGTTTTGAAATTCTTGTTATCATGCAGACCTTTATGGTCTGTATCCTAAATTATAAGACCTGGACTCACAAAAAGCAGTCCTCATTTTGACTTTTAATTTGGGGAGAAAAATAGAGAAAGTATTCCAAAAGATCTATAGCCATGTTACCATGTTGAACTATAATTGAAGTGGGTTTTTTATGTATATAACTTTATTTTTATATATACATATATACATGCACCATGTATGCATATATGTAATACAGTTTAGTAATCAGATATAATTAGTATATTTCCTGTAATATTACACTATACAGCTTTCTGATGTTTACTTATCTCAGTTTTTAAATGCTGTGTGCTGATTTTCTTATATTCCCAACTATTGTGATCAACCAAATATTTCTGTGTTAAGTATTAGGCAAAAGATGAGTTTCTCTCCCTTGTGGAAAATCTCCACAAAAAAGAAAATAAAATTTTCCCTGAGAATTATTTTTAAAAACATATGTAGGAAAGAGAGAGAAATATTTATTGGAAGAAATATTCAGGTGTTAAATGCTGCTGAATCTCACAGGTTGTAACTCTGGTTCTTTTGTCCCCCTTCAGGCACCTCAGTCAGATTTGCTTTCTCGTGATGCAGTAATTCCCTCACTGGGAAGCGTTACTGATGAGACCTAAACTGGAAATTTTGGCCCTGGAGAAAAAAGGGGGGATATTAGTCAGCTCAGTTACAGCTCCCATGAAATGGTATGATACCATTTCAAAACTCAAGTTCCTATGTATTCCTTTTTATCCATGAGAAGCCAACATTGGCAATTGAGACTTCTTGAGGGAAAAATAATACAGATAGAAACACATTTTTTCCACAAAAAAAAAAAGGAAACAAGCTGTATCTTTTCTGTCAGCCTAATGGGCTATGTTTTTTTCTTCTCATTCTCTTGTCTAGGTTCTGTGTGTACCACTCGGATTAAGACAGGGGTGGGCTATCCACAGCTAAGTGCTGTTATTGAGTGTGCAGACTCAGCACATGGCTTGAAAGGACATATCATCTCCGTAAGTAAATATCATCTACTTTCAGATTCCCACTGTGCAAACCGTTGTGGAATAGGAGAATCAAACTGTCCAGTACCCTGCATGTTAAAGGCTATCCTTCTGTCATCTCCAGTTGACCCCTATACTAGCTCCTAGGGTAGTCAGTTGAGATTAAATGTAAAGAAACCAACTCCCTCTAATGTTTAAAAGGACTTGGGCACTTCACTCCTGTTTGTGCATTTGGAAAGCTGCTTCTTGCTCCCTAAATGGAGTAAGCTTTATGTGAACAGAATTGGAAGCTTGATAGTGTTTTCACATTGAAGCAAACAGTAATTCCTACAAAAGATTTCTGAAAAATGAGTGAAATGTAAACATGGCTTTCCCCAGACAGCAGGACTGAGGGACAGGCAGGCAGCAGAGGGGAGTACAAGGTAAAACAGTACGAGCCCATCTGTGCCCTAGTGGCTGGATTGATTCAGATGGCATGCTCACAGAGCCCTCTGTGCATGCGTGTGAGCATTTCAGAGGTGGCTCTGTTGAGGACAGCTGGCACGTTCTCACAAAGCTCTGGGGAAATAATGAGCCTGTGGAGCAAAAAGAGCATGTATTTGTGTTGCCTGCTAATGGCAGCTTCCACTTTACCAGCAAGACCAGACTCACCTCATGTAGAAAAAGTAAATCTGTAAGCATGGCCTCAGACTGAGCTAGACTGCAGCCTAGAGCACCCAAAGGTCCTGTGTGCTTAGGCATGCCCAGCCCTGACTGTGTCAGGCTTGCACAGTCTCTGCAGGCTGTCTGTGAGGCAGCTGGTAATCAGGAAGGCATAGGGGCTCACATACCCACACAGCCACCCTCACAGCAAACAGCCTCCCTCTGCGGCCCTAGAAGAGACCACACACTGAATTTTAGATCTACTGCCAAGTGAAATCACTGGAAGACCCTGACTTGTTCCCCAACTAGACCCAGCTGTGACTAGTATCCATGTGAGGAAGGGAGTGTGTTGTGTTGTTGAGGAAGGAGGGGAGAGGGGAACAAACTGACTGTGGATGGGCAAAGGGCTTGACTGTATTTCTTGGAGCTGTGGATGTAACGGAGCAGGAAGACAAGTATGTGTTACAGTCAGATCTTGCTCTTTATTGTTAATGCATATGCATTCCCTCCTCTCCATGGCTCCCCTATATGAATTTTGCAGAAAAAAAGAAAAGCAGCCTGTGATTTTATGACTTGGGCAGTATTACAAATGTTTATGTCTATAGCAGAGGGCAGAACATGTGCAATAGAGCCTGAAAGACTGACTCATTACTATGAAGGCTGGATAACTATAGGTGTCATCCTAGCAGTGGTACTCAGAGGCCCATCCTAGTTTTGCAATAATAATTTTCTGCTAGCAACCCTCAGAAGAACGTTATTATACTGATTTTACAAGAAAACAGGAAGTCTGTATTTAGACTGTTGAAAAATTAGATGGCTCTGTACTATTCCTCCTTTCCTGCTTTGGGGATGGATCAGTTTCTGACCTGCTTAGGTCATGTTGTTGGCTTCAGTGAGCCCACACCTATCAACCCTCTAGCCATTACAGGGTGAGTGTAGGAGGGCAATTTAATACCTGTCTGCTACAATATCTGGGCCCAGAGAATTGCCTTCAGCTGTAACTGGGGTCTCTAACACCACTGCAACTCAACTCTGCCACTGAAGCTAAGGAGACTAAAGCAAGGGTGAGGATATTATGCCTGAATTCTGCAGCATTCGGATAGGTATTAGTGTATTTATTGGGGAAAGAAAAAGCTGGACTAAGTGATCATTGCCAGAGCTCTGGCAAGAGTATCACAAAAGAGGAGTATCCTCCTGAGGGAAAAACACCGTATGGAGGCAAGCCTAAATATATAATTGGGTCTAGTGGCAACAAGTATACATGGCATCCTTCAAGATGTCTCCCTACTGTCATTAGGTAGATTCAGGAAGGGGCACACCCTGCCTGAGCCAAAGGAGACCTCTACAGGCAGAGTATTACCGCAGCTATCTACATCAATTTGTCAGGAGAAAATATGCCCAGCAGTTTTCGTTATATTGATGTGGAAGTAGCAGGAAGGATGTGAAAAGATTCAAAGCCTACTAGCTATCTTCATGTAGATTATAGCTGATGGTGTGATATGGGTTAGTCCCTCGGGGCGCTTTCTTGCATCCACTTCTGTCTTGTCCAGTACCTTCATTGAATTGCTCATCTCTCTTCTTAACACTGTCTCAACTTAACATATGAAGGGAAAGAAGTCCCACTCATGGAATGAGAAAGTGACAGTGCTGAGCACAGTACAGGCACTGCAAGGAACACAGCACACTTGAAGCCCATTATTCAGTAGCTCTGCTAGGATGGCAGCACAAACTGGGATTTTAAATGTTTGTATTACTGAAGTGATCATGTATGATTTTTGGAGCTGATACATTGACAAAGAAGGTGACAATTTTTAGGCAAACATGATAGTCCAAGTGAACGCCTTAGTGTCTCTCTAGAAACATTTACACAGAGAAGGGGAGGTGAAATTGCACCAGTTACTTTCCTCTTGCTAAATTACCTTTAAGACTCAAAGCTCACCTCAGAAATGAATCTTTCATGACTCACTGAAAGAAGAGAGGAAACCCTGTCTAAGATACAGGCACTGTTTCTGTCCTGTGCTGTTTGCCTAGGAGCCAATAGTCTCAATTTTCATTCTCACTAAGCCATTGGCCTTAAGAAAGTGCAGCAGTGAGTTACAGTGGAGGGGCCATTTAGCAGGAGAGCTCCTTCAGAAACGCCCTACTTGAGATAAAGTTTCTGTTTCTTGTAGGTCAGAGAACTACTCTGCTGGATAGAGAGGCAGTCACGTATTCTAGTAAGCCAGCAATGTGGGGAATGGAAAGCAGCCTTGCATGTGTCCTCTCTCATTTGGCTATCATTTGATAGAGAACCCTATTTCTCCTTCACCCTGCCTGGGTGATGGGCCACCAGCATTCAGTGAAGAGGATGACTAAGGAGTTTTTCACCCAGCTACTGCCATATCATCTCTTCCTCCACATAGAACACTTTCCACACAGAAATATGCCCAGCATATGTAGTTCAGAAAAAGCACCATATTTATTGTTTCTACTGCTGTATATGCCACATAGTTTATCTATCTTCTGCATAATAAATAGCTATCTGTTTGCTGATACTGTAGGAAGGGCTGGTTATACAGTTTATTATAAAGGTTGCTTGAGACATATAAATCATAGTTATAAACTTATAATAAGTTGCATATAATATTAAATATTCAACCAGTTCATACTGGTTTTCCATACTGTGTTTCTTTTCCTCAGGCTAAATTTTGTTGCTGTAAAATGGTTTATCTGTTCAGAGAACAAGACTGAGGAAAATAACATTATTTTAGCCACATTAAAATAATTCTGTGGACTGGAAAGCCGTTTTCCCCTCTCCTTCAGTTTAGCACACAGGTGTCTCAGAATCATGCCCTTTACAAGCCCCATGGCCACCCTTTCCAGTAGGGTTACTTCAGAATAATGCCAGTTCTCCTGAATTCACAGGGGAATTTGTACAGATACATTTCCCCAGGGCTCTGAGGTAGAGGCTGAGCCTGCAACAAGCTCCGTGACTGAAGCCCGGCAGTTCTACAAGTCATTTTGAGTCCAGAGCCAGGCTCCTGTTAGGACGAGCTGAACTGCAAGGGAAGGCTTCCCAGACAATGCAGGAGCACAGTCTTATCTTCTAAACAGAGTGCTTGATTTTTCATATGGAATGAAGTTGTTTAATGCATATAGCTTTATTATATAGCATCTTCTGGCATAACTGCTTAGTATGTCCCCTTTTTGTTTCCCTTTCTGTGAATCATTAAATTTACCTGCTTTTGTGAAGTAAGTGGAGACATCTACAGATAAAGAAGTGCTGTGAATCATCATCATTGGTTCCTTTTATCTTAAATGGTAACTCATGAGCTTTTGGGAAAGTCTCTTAATCTGCTCAGCATTTTGTAATTTGATGACATTCACAGTGCTATTTGTTGAAGCTGAAGATTAATGATTACACATTAAGGCCCCCATCCCCATGGTACTTTGAAAGCATAAAGCCTCCATCCCTGCCACTACTGGGTTAATTATAAAAATCAGACACTGAGCCACCCAACAAGAACAGACTGAAACCCATCTACCAGAGAGCATTCATAGCCAGCCTGTCTCAGTCAGACAGTAAGTCAAGCAAATTCCTGACACTATGCTTTGAAGATTATTAGACCCCTCTTTCTACCTCAGCTTTTCCTCCCCTGACACACGCACACACACTCACACCCTCCTCCAGGCTCTGACAGATTTGTCAGAGGGAAAGAATTGCACAAGCAGAGCCCTTAACAGGAGAGAGAGATTCAGCTGTCAGCCCAGCACTCCTTTCTGGAGCCGACAGCAAGAGTGTATAGCTCAACAAAAGGCATAATGTGCTGGAGGTTATCAGCAAATGGAATAAAAACCTTTAAAGTTCTACTAGGCGCTGCTTGCAGTGGGATGCCCTTTGAAAAGCCACTCACTTTCGGATCCACCTGCTCAGTTTGTGTCTGAATCCTTTTCTGTGCTCAGAAAGGTTCTAACGCTCAGCCCCACTGCTAGCTACCCGTGAAAGCTGGCTCTAAAATGGCTGATGGTGGGGGTGTATGGCTGTGCTCAGCCGCAGGTCATACACAGGCATGCATTTCTGCCAACAGGGAGGTGAAACAAAATGAAGTAACCATACAGTCTGGGGAGTAGCTTCAAAAGCAGGAAAGCTGTCGGCAGTCTGCAACAGACCCTGGTCATCAAAGGGATGGGGAGCCCTCTTGGTACAATGAATGTGTAGAGTAGAAGGATCTTTCATTTGATGCTCAGACCTTTACAAAACCTAAAGAACCATACCAAGTTATGAGCTCTGCTATGTGCCATTCCTTTTTTACAGCTCTATCACACCTACATAACCTCCCTCCCCTCAACCGAAACCCCCTCATCAGCCACTTCTTTGCTCTGCACTGAAACTGAAACACACAGGTCTAAAATGCTACAGATCTCCAAGTGCTGTTGTTTCGTTATCAAACCCATAGCAAATGGTGAGGAGTATGATGAGAGGTTCATTTTCATTTACCAAAGATTAGATTACCCAGTTTGCTTAGAGATTATCAGATCAAAATCCAACATAGCTGGTGGTATATTTCCTCACCCCTCCCACTGTGACCTTTTAACGTATTGTAAACTGCTGAGAAAGTTGTTTTAAATGTCTTTGGTGGTTTAAGGTAGGGGTTTGTGGTACCTCTGCATTACACAGCCTTTCATTAAAATGGCAGGGAATGATTCAGATCATCAGAGGAGGTTTTGTTTTACAGTTTCTGGGATTTAGGAAATTGCAGTCAGGAATTTGCATTGCTGCTGTTACCAGTTGTGTTAGCATAGACTATACGGTCGAGTAAATGAGCCCAAAGAAGGAAAGCATTAGAAAGGATAATATGGATTCCCTAAAAACTCATCCAAGATGATGTATACCAATGGTGTGCATGCAGTCAGCTCTTGACACGCTGTTCCTGAGCGGGGGCCTTTGTGCTGCAGGTCGCAGAGCGCCAGTGCTCGCTGGGTCACTGAGTGAGCTCCCTGCCACTCACTGTCGTCTTTTCTTTATGCAGGATGGAGGATGCAGCTGCCCAGGAGATGTCGCCAAAGCGTTTGGTAAGGACAATGTGTAGTGCCACCCCTTGTACCCCGCCTAGCTCCAGCACTGTCAGCAGTGCTGCAGGAGTCAGTTTGACCCTGAACATGTAATCAGCAATAGGTTACATTCGTCCCTGTGGGTGATTCCAGTGAAATTAATACACCAGACATGAATTTGCTCTTTGGACCAGACAGTCCAAATTCTGCAGCGCAAAACACAGAGCGGTCGAAGTCCTATTTAGAAACTGTCTGCCAGGTGTGCATGGGCTACAGCCACTGGGACAGTAATACAAAGAAAACCGATACGGGTTTCTTTGGAGCAGGGTTCAAAGATGCCTGTAACATTGCCAGATCTGGCTGACCTGGGCCTTGAATGGACAAAGAGATGGTGGAATGTGTGTTGGACAGAAGAACAAAAAGGCAGGCCAGATCTCTGGAGATGTTCTTGGGATCAGCTGTCCAGTTGAAGAGATGAGATGTTATTTATACTGTATCCCCTAGAGCTGAGCAGATGTCTAGAACATCTAAGTTAATAATTAACAGATTTTGCTCTTCTGCCAATAGCTTCAGTGAATTGCACCAGCTCTTGCTGATAGAATAGAAAATTTAATCTGTGAGTATTTTCTGTTGGGCATGAAAGTTACATTGGTGGGGAGGGGGTGTCAAGGTCAGGATTGTCACTTAGCCATAACCTTGTTGCAGTGGCATATGTGAACCAGGCACATGTGAATGCATCCTGGGCTGACAGGACATTTAAAGACACTCCCCCATCCCCCAAAATGCCAGACCCTTTGGAGATGTCACAGTGGGGTAATACCTGGAATACAGTGGGACAGCACAGTTTCTGATTGGGATTTTAGGGTGGTACAATACAAGAGATAGCACATTATGATACAGTATGTCTGCTTGGCAGGAAGCTTTGCAAGTATGGAAAGCAGGGGCAGGCCTAAACTCAGATTACAGACCTGCCAAGAAAAACTCTGGGCCTCCTGGAAAGGTTGAAACCAAAATCTGTCTTCTAAGTTTGCAGACAGCTCCTGTTTTTAGACGGGTCAGATGACAGGGAAGACTTAATTAAAGAATGTTAAGCACAGCCGTGGAGTGATTGCTACCAGCAAGGAATCTGCTCAGTCACAGGATTTCACATTGCCTTTGTGTTACCCAGTGGTTGATGTGATGTAGGGAACAGATACTTCCTTCCAGTTGGGTGATTCTGGCATAGCGGAACAGTGGCATCCACCCTCTTTGATAACAAGATTGTATTAAGAAACCACCCAACTTCTCAGCCCAGCCCACTCTGACATCATGCTGCCTGCAGTGAGGCCTTTGTTCTGCCTGGCTTTCTCTGGCTCCACAGCTTGCCCAGTTCTTGCTGGCGTTGTTGTCAGTAGCTTGCGAACTGAGATTGCGACCTCACTGCATTCCCAGCTGCCGGCACAGAAACCTGGCCCGTGGAAAAGGTCTTTCTTCAACAAGAGCATTTCCAGAAGTTAGAACAACAGGAAGCAACTGCAGAGTGTTTAAAATGTTTTCCTTTGTGATGTTTATAGCAAGTCTGAAGGGTCCTTGTAGTCTCTTCGGGCTAACTGAACAGCAACTTGCTTGAAACCTGTGAAAGGGCAGATTCTGGCCTTGCTGATTGTCAGGAGGTGCTGAGATTGACAGTGGTACGTGTTCGAAGGCTACCATGGGTTGTCCCTGGGGTAGACGGAGGAGCATCAGAAAGCTGAGATTATACAGGCAGTAGTTCTACTCTGACAGTAGGCCAGACAGATGAGTCTGACCTGTGTGCCACAGGTACAGGACTGGAACTCATAGAGATTACCCTGAGGCAATAAACTTACCATAATCTGGTTATGTATAATTGAGAAAGACACACTGTGGACATCTGACTAGCTGGAGCTGGGTGTGTATTTGTCAAAGGTGGATGGCAAAATAAGCTTCTAGATAACGTTATTACTATCAGTGTTTATTGAATGCTATTGAGGTGATTGACTATGTGAGCCAATCCATGCCCAGCATTTGCAAGCCAAAGCTTTGACACTGATACTGAATTGTCTAGCACAGACCTCTGTGCTTGCTGAGAGCCTCTTGGCGGGGAAGAGTTACATAAATACATTGGAGAGCAGAGACCGGGTGATAAAACACACAGATGTACAATTTCACCTGGGGATGGAGGCCTGGACAAAGCATGGACAAGAGACCCAAAGAGGACTTTGGTTAAAGTAATTATACTATCTCTTTTTGGTGGATCATTGTAAAGTCTTCATGAAAGGGATGTTGAGGTGTTCATTATAAAACAGTGACAAAACAGCCATTCGAATAATAAAAAAGTGTGAGGGAGTCCCAGATGTGAAGACTAGCCATGACAAATGGCTAAAGAGGAGGCAACTTCATGGGAACAGGAGGAGGAGAGTGGGTGGAGTGCAAGTGAAGAATTGTGAAGAACCATGAAGAAGGTGCTGAGAAGCTTTACAAGTGGAAGGTGACACCATTGCCTGATGTCAGGAGTCAGAGGCAGACTGGGCATTTTGACAGAGGGGAAACAAGGTAGAAGCCCATTTGTAAAGGCAAGGAACAGAGAAGCATTGAAGGTGGGGGACAAAAGTGCCAGAAGTCACAGATACTTTGGGAGAGACTGCTGGAATTCTGGAACTGTTGGATGGGAACCTGGTATGGACTTGGTAAACTGAAGATGTCGCTGCCATCTGGGTATTGGAGATGATAATGGAAAAGGTGTAGGTTGATCAGGAAGAAAAGAGGTGTTTTGATGCAGGAATGAGAGAAAGCATGAAAGAACTTTGTGTTGGGCTCTCAGAAGGTTCACATAACTGCACCCTTAGAAAGGCTGATAACATGAACACATTCTCAGAATGCCCCAGGGAGGCACTACTATCTCCTTTTTTAAAGATGAGAAGTCAAAGCACAGTAATACTAAGTTCAATTGCCTGAGGTCACATATGTTTTTGTGACACAGCCAGGAACAGAATGTGCCTTTTGAATCCTACGCCAGCATCTTTAACACAATACTGCTGTTCCTTACAGCAGTGGTGAGAAGAGATACAGGAGCAGGGAAGGAAAAGGAAGGAAAAATCATGTGGAGAAGTCAACTGGGGACATATACTGATTCCAAAATATACCTCGCAGATCGTACTGGCTGTTTTTTCCCTGTTTTCAATAGCTGTGTGTGTATACCTACTGTTGCAAAGGCTTACTGGCTCAGCTGAAGCACAGGTGAATGTTGATTCCAGGGCCAGCTGTGATCCAGGCAAACTTACACTGCATCTGCCTGGAGGGCTGCCCAGGCTACAAATCCAGGCTAACTCCAGCTGAATTTGAGCAGAGCCAATCTGGTTATCAGTAACTTGTATTATCAGGCATACAAAAGACATCTGAGGGACTCCATCCAGCTCCAGCAGAACTGTGTAAGTGCTGCAAGATTGGGCTGGCATTAGCACACATATGCTGTAATGGCTTGAAAAAGAAGGCACTGTGAAATGTGAATGAGCAGAATCAGCTCAGATACAGTGTAGGCCTCACGGGGGAGGTCAGTGCATTGAAGTGGCGTTGTGTAGCAACAGGATGAGTCTAGCAAACTCTGGGTGTGCTACTGGGATGCTTGTATGCAACATACCCCATCACATCCTGTATTATCTAGGGGTTTGTTGCCACGTGTTCCCAGTCCCCCACAACCTAAAATAATGGCACACTGGCATGCTGTCTGCTGTACTTGAAAATGAAGGACTGCAGCTGGGTGTTGCAAACATCACCAGTGTTTCTGGTCATAAGTAAAGAAAGACCATGCTAAAACATACAGCCTCCTGGTTGGATGTTAACTGGTAGAAAAGTCGTGGAACAGACTCGAAACTTTCAGACATCTTTGCAACACTGAAGCAGGGTGGAAAGTTCTGGAGAGCATTGGAAAAGTGTATTTAAATGGACTTGTCATTCCTGGAGCTGCAGGGCAGTAAGCATGTGTCTTTCCAGTGTTTAGACGTGCTGCGTCTGCTGTAACATAGCTCCTATCTTCTGGAAGAGCTTGATGAATTATGTTGTAGTTTGCAAAAGTTACTCAATTTGGATGAGTTTCAATCCTATAATTCAAACATACTTGCTTTCCTCCCAAAATACGCTGTCAAAAATAATAGATACTTAAGTGCACAGGAACCAAAATTCTGTGATTCTGAAGTGTAGATTTCATGTGATTGTTTTGCATTAATAATTTGGAAACTGTGAGACCCACAACCAGAGACAGGACTAGAATTGGGGATCAGGGTATTGACAAGGCAAAGAGTCAAGATTGTCCTTTGGCAGGCCTATGACTTGTTTAAATGCCCTCTTTGAAACCTTGACACCAACTCCATCCCTCCTTCCTCGTGGTGTTTTCTTCCACCCATGAAGAAGACATCAACTAGATTTCCCAGGGTACTTATTTTTTGAAAAGGTGGAGCAAGATTGTGCCAGATAATAACAGGAGCTCCCCACCAGTAATTGAGAATGTCTTAAAGGATGAGCATTCCCTTTGTTTTTGGCAGGTTAATAGTAATATCAGACATGAATCAAACTGAGGCTTTAAAACTCAGCCATCTGAAACAAGAGAGCTCAGGAAAAATCTGCCAGGTAGCTGGCATGATAGGACACCTGAATGAGTGCCTGGCTGTAAATATTGCTTGTGATGTGCTCAGCAGTTTTGCACAAGCCTCATTTTTAATATCCCTTTACCACGGACATACTGTTCCTTTCAAACAACAACCAGGCAGAGGGAGGTGAGGTCAGCAGAGTAGTTGGGTGCTCTGCTCCCAGGCATTGCTGCTAGGTCTGCTCTTTGGCAAAGGGGTGGAGGGAAGGAACTGGCTTTTATAAATCAGTGCACACTCCACAGTTGTCATGTATTCAAAGATCAAAATATTCCCAAATTCAGGTTTGTCTACAGAGCTTTTAAACAGATGGCAGAAGCTGAGCAGACTTGATAATTATTTCACTTACTTTTCAGATTTCAAGGTCAAGTTTGGATAGTGACAGAGATCAGAACAGATCCTAGTGCCAGACTTACCTAGCCTGGGATCTCCCCAGAGTTCGGACATGTTCATAACAGGGTGGGGTTAGTTCAGGCTCATCTGCTTTCTATGCAGTGAGGTTTATAGCCCTGTTCTTTTGCCAGTTCTGGGAAGAAGCTGGGCAGAGGGGAGGCCTGTTCTGACACATACACATTGAAGAAGCAGAGAGTCTGAACAGGAGAATGCTTTGTTTCAGGGATGGGTCACCACAGGCTCATAAAAGAGTAAGCGTCAAACTTTTCTAAGCAAGACTAGATATGCCAAAATATCACAGGAGGAGCTGCTGGTGGAATACTTCCAGCCCAGCTGGAAATATTGGAAATCACAGTAGAAAATCAAGAGTGATTCCAAAAACCTTCTTCCTGATCTTACTCCCAGTGGAATTGATTTCATGATTTGCAAAGCCAGGGGAGGTGGACAGACTGAACAGGCATGACTGAGTATTCAGTATTGTTATTCAGTATCTGGAACATATTTAGGAGGTGTAGCTATGGGTTAGACCTCCTTTGTGGAGCATGCCGAGAAACACAGAACCCGGGGTGGTGGTCCTTGGCCCAGAGTTTTTAAACAACAGGAACCAAATGCAGACCCATCCAGATCTCTTTGACAAGGGATCACCCAGACCTACACTGAACACATATGGCTGATGGACTTGAAAAATCCATCATTTCATTAAAAAAATCTGCTTGTTTTATGTCGGTGTTGGGAGGAGTACACTACTTTCATGAGTATGCCTTCCTTCGGGGTACATTCCCACGCACAGCTCGTAGCCTAGGAAGGTCTTGAAGTAGGAGCTGTCCTCTTGCCTGTACAGCATGGAGCAACAGGTCCCAGCCCTGTGATTAGGGCTTCTGAGCGCTGCAGTCACAGTAGTAGTTAATAAGGAACTGTGCTCAGATACTATTATGAAGTAAAGGGTTAAAACCGAATTTGAAAATAAAGAGTGTGGGGTGGAGTCGAATAATCTGTATCTTTGTCATCACAAGAGAAAATTATTCTTTCCATTTAAAATACAGAGAAATAGAATTCAGCATGTGTCAGTTGTTCAGTAAAGCATTTCTTCCAAGTTTGCTGCATCTATTACAGGAGGGGACTCTGTACCAAACTGTTTAGCGCTGGCTATTGTTTTTGGAGGCCACTGTGTTCTTGCTTTGTCTTTCACCCTCCTCTCCCTTCCCTGCTTTCTTACGTGTCACTTTGCTGATCATAGGAGCCGGTGCTGATTTTGTCATGCTTGGAGGAATGTTTGCAGGCCATGACCAGTGTGCTGGAGAGATTATGGAAAAGAATGGCAAGAAGGTGAAACTCTTCTATGGAATGAGTTCTGATACAGCCATGAAGAAGCATGCAGGAGGGGTTGCTGAATACAGGTATGAATTCCACACAGGAGCAATTGCAGTGAGCCAGCCACCCAGTAACTTCTGGAGTGGAATTGTGCAAAAGGCATCTGTTGGAAACAGGCCCATGCCTCTATTCCCATTTAGGAAGCTGTTACCAACACTTACGGCAGCAGATCTGAGGGAGGGATGACATCAAGGGGGAGACAGGGAGAAGGAGCTGGGGGTGGCTAGCTGAGAGCAACCATGTTCACTCGATTGCAGCCAGTGCAGTGTGCTGTCACTGCAGCACTAGCTGCGTGGTCCGGGAAGTTATTAAGCACTGTTCTGACTTAACAGGTCTCTCGGGATGCGTAAGAATTAAATGCTGGAGCATTGCATACCAGGCTGCAGTTTCTGGCCCTCTGCTTGTCCAGGTTGGGTGTCCTGTTGGTGTATGGGTTCCCGGCTGGCCCACATGCTCCCTTCTGTTTGCAAAAAGTGGATGCCTGGTGAATTGGCAAAGCTCAGCTGGGGTTTCTTCAGTATAGAGTTGAGTTACAGCTGTAACACTAATGAGGGCCCAGGACCTCCAAAGCACTCTCAGTCACAGGCAGTACCCCAGGACTCCCTCCTGCATTTGTTGGGCAGTTGTCTTAGGCAGCAGAATCCTGCTGTACAGAGTTTGCACCCCTTTTTGGGTAACAGAGCACCAGAACAGCCCCAAATCATGCAGCATGTGGGAGCTTGGGCTTTGAGCTAAAATCCTCAGTGGGGAGGAAAGGGAGACAGGCTTTGCAAAGGAATCTCTTGTCCATTGGTATTTTATTCTGGAAAGTACTGAGAATTTTGACTTTTTGAAAAAGCAGGTAACTCCAGAAAACCTCTGTGTCTTTTCTCTTATGAGTGGCAGGTATAGTCACTGCCCTTAGACAACATGGCTCTTGCATACTTTGTTAGAGAATGTTTCCTGTCTTACAGTATACACTGGTTTATTGAGGGGTCCCTTTTGATTCTCCTCTTCTGGGGTAGATTCAGACTCTGGTCCCATCTGGTAAACTGCTGTTTGTAAAAGTCTCAGAGCCAGTGACCTTACCTACTGTTCCAGACATTCAGGATTGATGGGTTGTGTTGGCCTTGTCTGCTACAACTACTCGAGCATGGGGGTTTTTCTCAATGTGTCCAGCTGCTGCCATGGGTAAGAGTTGTGAAGGTGACAGTGCAGAATGTAAAGCAGAATGGGATCCACAAAACAAAACAGAATTCACACTTTTGACACGGAGACATGCTGATAGGACCACAACAATCCCGGACATCATGATAGATAGAAAGCATCTTTGATCCTCCTGTCCTCCACCCCAACATTGGCTCTTGTGATGGTTTTAGTCTGCCACTTCTGAAAAGTTGAAATGCACCATAAAAATGTGCAGTAGTTCACCTAGCACTTTATAAAGCGGTAAGACACAGCCTACTTCAGAGCATTTACACCTGTCAGCTTTGGCCTAAATCACAGAACCATAGAATAGTTTGGGTTGGAAGGGACCTTTAAAGGTCATCTAGTCCAACCCCCCTGCAGTGAGCAGGGACAGCTTTAACTAGATCAGCTTGCTCAGAGCCCCATCCAACCTGACCTTGAATGTTTCCAGGGATGGGGCATCTAGCACCTCTCTGGGCAACCTGTTCCAGTGTTTCACCACCCTCATTGTAAAAAATTTCTTTCTTATATCTAGTCTGAATCTACCCTTTTTTAATTTAAAACCATTACCCCTTGTTCTATTGTAATAGGTCCTGCTAAAAAGTTTGTCCCCATCTTTCTTATAGGCCCCCTTTAAGTATTGAAAGGCCTCAATAAGGTCTCTCCGGAGCCTTCTTTTCTCCAGGCAGAACAACCCCAACTCTCTCAGCCTTTCCTCATAGGAGAGGTGCTCCATCCCTCTGATCATCTTTGTTGCCCTCCTCTGGACCCACTCCAACAGGTCCATGTCTTTCCTGTGCTGAGGGCTCCAGAGCTGGACGCAGTACTCCAGGTGGGGTCTCACCAGAGCAGAGGGGCAGAATCACCTCCCTCGACCTGCTGGCCATGCTGCTTTTGATGCAGCCCAGGATACGGTTGGCTTTCTGGGCTGCAAGTGCACATTGCCGGCTCATGTCCAGCTTTTCATCTACCAGTACCCCCAAGTCCTTCTCTGCGGGGCTGCTCTCAATCCCTTCATCCCCCAGCCTGTATGGATATGGGGGGTTGCCCTGATCCAGGTACAGGGCCTTGCACTTGGCCTTGTTGAACCTCATAAGGTTCATGTGGGCCCACTTCTTGAGCTTGTCTAGGTCCCTCTGGATGGCATCCTGTCCCTCAGGCGTGTCAACTGCACCACTCAGCTTGGTGTCATCTGTAAACTTGCTGAGGGTGCGCTCAATCCCGCTGTCTGTCATTGATGAAGATACTAAATTATTGTGACCTCCTAGATTGCAATAATAATGGAGACTAAGGAGAGCTAGTGGTAGACATCGTGCAGGAGAGATCTGGAGGCAAATTAAGTCATTAGCTTTGCTGGTCTGGTAGAAAACCCAGGCTTATTAAGAGAAGCCTATGTGAAAATGGGGAAATAGGGAGCTTGTGGACACTGCACTTATCTGATAGTCTCTGCCTACTAGACACAGTCTGGTTCAGTACTGCTTTCCGAGGAAGACTTCTGAAGAGAAGAAAATCAGCTGGACATAGGGATGAGAGATGATAGTAAAGAATTTTTCAAGGGCAAAAAAGCTTGCGATGAGTTTTGGCAAGTTCCAAGGGCATTTGTTTTTGCAGGGAAAAAAAGGTATTTTTTAACAAGCAGAAATATACAATGAATACTGTAGTTTGAGGAGAACATGTATATCCTGGCAGATTTTTAAAGCAAGGATTTTTCTGCATCTAATAGGATGAGAAGGGGACAGGGATACCTTTACCTTCTGCCTGAGGAGGACGCACATGTCTTTCTTGAGTGGAGTGTACCCTTCCTACTTTACCTGAGCCTATGTACCTCTTTCTGGAGCTCAGATCAGAAGCTAGTGAGCAATGTGCAAGGGATTTTTTTAATCTCTCATGGGGCTGCAGCTGTACCAGTTAAAAGCACAGCAATCTGCAGGATATCTGGCTACACTGAGGACAGCCAGTGGATTGCTTAGGGGAGCAACCCATGTGACTTGCTTTCCACCTGGCTGACCGGCAAGGCTCTTTTGGCACTGTAGGTTCAGTGTGCTTTTGCCTTCAAGCACAACTGTTTATTTGCAGAAGAAAGAGCTGCACAAGAGTCCATGTACATCTGAGACAAGCTGAAATGATGCATCAGAAAGATGTGCTGCATACCTCTGGGCTTTGATGCACTCTGGGTTCATATGCCAGTTCCCAGAAGTAGCGTACAGTTTGGGGGCTTTTGTTGTCCCCCAGCGAATCTGCTTGTCATCAAAGCCTCTGAACAAATGGTCTGAGTGGACAGCATTAGTAATTATCTCATCATTTAAACGTGGCAGCTGCCAGTTACACAGAGGTGCTGGCAACCTTTTATCTGAACCATGATAACTTGCTGTCCTTTGCTGCCCTGTGCTTGTGTCAGATGGAGTGTGGGAAAGGCCTGATGCTGGTCAGGCATGTAGTTAATGGCAGCTCCCTGCGAGATCACAGAGCAGCCCAAGCATGCTGCATGGATCTCAGTGCAGCATAGTCATTTAGGGCCTGGCCACCACAGAACTGTTAAAGTTGCAGGAAAAGTTTGAGAAAGCTTGCTGTACCAATGGGCCAGAGGACTAAGGCAGCTGTTAAATTCTGCTCCACCTAGTTAGGTGTGCGTGTGATCTGGCAACAAAATTTATCGCCAGCAGGAGAATTACTTGACACTGGTCCCTCTTAAAAATGAGAGAAAGTGCAGGTATTATGTCTCGTAGAAGTAAAGGATGTACAGAAAGGCACTGTATTTGGCTCAGTCTAGATAGACCCTTTCAATTCCTTATGGGCAATACTACACAAATTCTGCTTGATCCATAGCTGCATTTTGATTTACAGCCTGATTTTAGAGTCGCCTTGGGATCAAGTGCTGAAACCTTCTCAGCAACAAGGGAGCGGAAGCACAAACTGAAATTTTTAGTCCCTGTTGAGATACTGCCTTTTTGTGCCACTAATAGGTAACATAGAAGGAGTCCCCAGTCTACTGCTAGCTACAACAGCTCCAAACATTAAATCTGTAAGCCTTGTCTGTTAACTGTGAAGAGGCTGATTCTCATCTTGTTCACATTGCAGCCACGAATCAGAGCTGGCTATCCATACCAGCCTTGGTCTTGGTCTTGCTTGGCCTGTGCCAGCATGATGAGTGTCACTGTGGTTTAACAGCAACAGTTACTTATCCAGCACCGTAAATGTGCTGGGTGTTGAAGGGATGATTGGAAACAGGGCAAGGCTTTGCTTTGTATTACTCCTGTAGGAAGAGTTACAGGAAGTTTAGTCACTTACTAGTTTAGCATATGGCAAACTTGAACCAAAAGGGTTCTGACTCAGCTTTTTAAATGATGTATACCCCAAACAGATCAAGTCAGTGGGGCTTCTTTATATGCATTTAAAAAGCTCAGCTGTAAGTCTGTATCAGTGACCCCAATAAGCTGTTCTGTCTTTAAAAGAGCCTGAGCACTCACAATGTTTTATTCAAGCAGTGGGGAGCTCAGTGTGCTCAGCCCCCTGCAAAATCAGACTACTTGTCACGTAACTTCATCTTCTCAAAATTACACATTTTGGCTGGAAAACCTGCACCTCCAGTGAACAGTTAAATTGAAATTGACAGGTAAGGTGAGATGGCTGTAGCAGGGAATAAAGTCATGAGAGTAATTGTTTTTGTAATGGGTATGTCAAGTTGAACCCATTTAATTTTGTATGAAATCTGTGTACCTGGTTTCATTACTTCCATGTCATTTATATATTGGTTTATTTTTACCTCCTTCCATGAGGAGCATGCATCAGATCTGGGAATTTCTGAAAGGCAATTATTAAGTTTCTTTTATGGGAGAAAAGAAAGAAGGCAAGCAAGAAC